AATCTACTCTATAAACAAAGCTTAGAACAGTTAAATCTATGCAGATAAGCAACCATCAAAGACGTAAACTATTTTTTAAAAATCAATTTACAGGTGAAACACGAGCTGATTAATTCTTACAACTGTAAAAATGACACTAGTGATAGAAAAATTCTATACGTAATAGCTGTTGCTATTTACACAGTCAAATTGTTAACAAAAGATATTACATTATCTGCAAAAGTTTTTAGAATTGCTGTGGTATACTTCTAAAATTCTATATATGTCAACATTAGTCCTTGTTCTGAGTCACTTGAAAAGTAATTTACAAATTGCCTCAAGTGAGTGAAGAAAAACATTTTGTAACTTCCTCCCATACTGAATTGCATTAAGTCTTATAAAAGAAAATTGCATACTTCAATCTATAACCATCTGCAAATGTAGAACTTAATTTTATTATTTTTTATGAATTTTGAAAAGAATTCTATCCAGAACTTAAGATGTATTAAATTCTTTCATTTTCACAGGTGAGATCACCTTTTTCAGAATAGGTTGCACAGCTCAAGAATATGTGGAGAATTTATTCAAAGAAGCCCAAGATGAAGTGGAATCAACATTGTATGCAATGACCTTAGATGGGAAACCAAACAAAGCAATCAAATTTTAAAAAGAATTGTTATTTCAAGATTATGAAAATAATTTTTTTCAAATAATTGTGGAAACAAAACCTTTTCTCTATAATGACTCATTACTTGAATTTAAAAAAAAAAAAAATAATTATAATTCCATCGCTATATAATGATGTGCCAAAAATCATGATTAGCATCCTGTAAATGACGAAATGCAGTAATTCTACACATCAATTCTACAAGAGGTCAGACCTCTGAAAAGATACTGAAGTATATTATCTTGATAGCTGTCAATAGCTCCTTGATATTTGAAGTTTCAAATATATTTCATCAAAAGTTTCCAGAATGCAACTCTAATGAATTCTGGATAACTTGGACCCAATAACACCATTATTGTTAGAGTACCTGATAATGGTAATATTAGCAGTTTCCTTATAAGGAAACATTCAGCATTTATTGACCAAGAAGCCAATACTACTGTTGGTTGAAATTTATAAAATCTTTCTTTTAAAACTATTTTTCAAGAAATAGGTTTCTCAAGTCCTATCACTATTTCCAGTATAGATGGGGGTTTTCTTTCTAAGCTTTTATGATTGTCATTATTTTCTCTTCTATATTATGCTATTAATTTTAATTGTTGCTGCTGTTGGAAAAAGTGATGTGGTTTCTGTTATCAGGTACAGTTCTTTGTTTGATTCTGTAGCATCAGTCCACAATGTTCAAAGTATGATCAACGACAAAACCCACAGGCTTCACTCACTCAACGCCATTTTTAACTATTGATCTGAGAAAACTGTTGTATACAGCTGACAGTTTGGATGTTTCTGAACAGGTTTGATGTCATGCAAGACTTCCATATGAAAGTCTCGATTTGACAAGGCTATTTAAGAACAGGACTTAAATTTTCAGCTTAATGTTTTGGTTTTGTAGCAATTTGCAGTGTTGGGCAAAACTATCTCTACCTCAGTTTATTCTATATTTAATTTCCTTATCTTGTACTAAATTTGTTATGAAGTCCATGAATGGATACAAATAATAAAACAATGCCACATTGCAGTCACCAGTCAATGATGTGTTTAGGCTACCAAATGGACCCAACCAATGCCATAGGAACACCAAGAATGTTTATCAAACCAACACCACCAGTCTGTATGATGCCTCAACAACTAGTCCATGACTTCATGGAATTTGCACTGAATCTATTGGCTCAAAAAACAAGTGAAAGTGACTCATCAGACAACACCACCTGTTTCCAGTTCCAATTAGTAACATCACAAGCCCAGATCAGACACTGTACAATGGTGCTACCTACTATTACATACTGCTATCCTAAGACTTTTGGCACATCAGAGTATATTGCTAATAATTTATTCCATTATAGTAACAATGGGGAAAAATAAGAGCTATCTTAAAATATTAATGATACCTAACTACCATTTTTCTTACAAATCCAGTGCATTTACTCTACCACCAATATTTCGTATGACTCACTTTCGGATAGATTGAGAGTGGATGAACATTGGAATTCCAGTTGTTTTGGAACAAGTCATTATATTCTTCAAAAATGTTCCACAATGTCTTCACATTGAAAAAAAAATGTTTTAATAAATTGTTTCAATCAATTAATATCTTGGTTTAATTCATAACCATGTTATTTAGTATCACTTCCAGATCTGTACAAATAGTTATTAATAAAAATTATGTAATGTCTGAATTTGATTGGTAAATATTTGAATGATTAACTGCATGTTAACAATACATGATAACAATCTGCCAAGAATTGTAGACAGAATTTATAACTTGATTACAATGGATGAATAAAAGAAATTCTTAAGTGATTTAATCTTAATTTAATTTTCATGGTGAAATAACAGTCATTAATAAATTTTAGTAAGACTAAAATAAAAAATGAACAGTTCCACTCTCTGCACTAATGTCAGACACAAAATTATTTGGAGGTCATCAAAAGTTTAAATTCTTTTATAATTCTTGGCAAAAAACAAAATCTTTTTTGGCTTGATCAACTTTAAAAAGGACAATAAGTAAGCAGCATTGAAATTAGATTTGATTTACAATGACTGAATTATCATTTAAGCAAGTTTAACTTCAAACAAATAAAAATAAATTTTGACATAAACTGATCTAACTTTGTGAATTGCATTTTTCTTGAAGTAGCTTAAAATAATTGAAGAATACTTTATTGCAGTGAAAAGTACTTGTAAAAATTGATAAAGAATAGTAGCAACTGATAGTAAGTATAAAAATATTTGTTGTGAAAAAAAAAAAAAAGAATCAAAATGGTGCAAATAAAAGAGAAGAGATTCTTTAAGGGATTTAAAGAAGTAAAACATTTCCTGACATAACATTTTTTTCTTAATTGTAAATCTGAAATATTCAGCCTAACAAGAGCAAGCAAGAGATCATTTTAAAACATTAGCTTTGGAGTTATTTCAACTGATTTTTGTTGTATTAGTAGCACTTCAAATGATGTCCTGTCCCAGAATAATCATGCAACAGATTTTAAATCTATTCAGTCATTAGCAGCTGAGTTAATAGAAAAAACTATTTTTATCATTTACCCAAGAATTACGACATGAACTTAATTGAATTAACTCATTTCATTTAACCGAGTGATTTGTGTCTAGCTGAAGGCTAGTTTGTGTTTAAAAGTAAAAAAAAAATATCTACATCTCTATTTACCATGTATAAAAAAATGATAAAAATTGTGATGATGCACATCTAAAAATACTTTAGAAATTCAAGAATATGACCCCTAAAAAAGCTTAACTTTTAAAATGTTAACAATGCTTCCTCTAACGAGCACTGAATCTTACTTGTTATATGTGAAGAAGCCAAAAAAGATAATAAAAAGAAAGATTCAGAAATATGACAGCATTAAACTGAATATTCATTAGTTTTTGAGTTCACAAGTTAACCTAATTCTCTTAAATTATTTTGTTAGTCATAGGAAAAAGATTTTCCCTATTTTAAGTAAAGCTAAATATAAATAATGATTTATAATCAATGTGGAGTTGACAATGTGATATTTGAATTTAATGAGCAGAAAAAGAATGTAAATGTGTTCTTTAATATAAAAATCAAGCCATGTTGATAAAGTGGTAAGAGAGAACAAAAATAAATTTTTCTTAAGTCATAAAGGTATGCCTTCTAATTTTGGTCATTAATCCACAAAAATTTGTCATCCTTAAAGAAATGCTACAAAGTAATAGCATTATAGTATTTTTGCAATTGGATAAAAATGAGACACACACAAACACAAAGAGTGTTAAGGTGGACCAAAATGTGATATAGGGGCTTTGGTGCATTAAAGAGGGACATCAAATCTAAAACAGAACAAATTGATGTTGAAAGGAAATAAATTCATTAAATTATATCTCATGTATTTGATTTTTGTTAATATTTTCCCAAATATTTATCTCTTCATTGCTCTGTTTACCTGTCCCTGTGCATTGCTCCTTTTTATAGTTACCAAGAAAACTCATTACAGCATATTGTTTTTTGTTTTGTTTTTTAAATAAATTAGCCATTCTCATTTTGTAATTGTTACTGAAAAATACAAAAAGCATCCATTGAACTTCCCTGAGGTTGTCAGTAGAGAGAAAAGACAAAGAAAGATATACACTTATTGATATATACAGAGACAGAAACAAACACAAAAAGACAAACAAATCCTGTAATGCATCAAGCAATTAAAAAGTAAATGAAAAACAGGTGAAAGACAAGTTGAGGTCATGTATTCATTAGTTCAAGCTTAGCAGAGAGTAAAGTCACAGCTGCTTTCAAGTGAAAGTAATGTAAAAAATATTCCTGGAAATGGGCCATTTGCTAATTTTTTTTTAATGTTAGCATAATCTGGCCTTTTGTGTTTAATTTTGCAAGTCATTGCCTCCTTATTGCTTGCTCATAGCAATGACAAAAGTGGTACAGAGTTCAAGTCCAGAGTTTCCTCCATTTGCTAGCATGCACTGAAGCAAATGGTGGAAAGTGGCAGAAACAACAACACAGATCTTACTAGGAAGAGAGAGAGAGAGAGAGAATAAGGACGATAAATAGAAAGGATTATGTGAATAATCCAATGTGAAATCAGCCAGCTACAAAGAGCAGCAGGAAGAGTTTAAGAATATGGAGTGAAGCCAATTACATCAAAACTATCTTTCCTTTACCTTTGTGGAGAAGGCAGAGAAATTAGTTTGGAAACACGGTAATTCAGATTAAGTCATTTTTGTATTATAAAAGTCCAATAAAAAATGTTTGACTTCCAAATAATTCTTAAAGATGAAAACTCTTCCATGGCTAACACCAACCTGTACCCTACAGTTGAGGGTTGTGGATTAGCAGAGGGTGGGGAGAAGAAAACAAGCAGGCGTAATGTTATAAGTGAGTCTGAAGGAAACTGAGGACCATTGTCTTGTAATGCTCACTGGCATCATGATTGCGGATTCCATGTCGTTCATTTGGATACACCTGAAAATAAATATGGAAACAGTATAGAAGCACTCAAATGTGTTTTTACAAAATAAAAAAGTTTAACATTTTCTTCCTATTATCAGAGCAGCTATATTAATCCTGATATCAAATATGACCCAAGGCAAACACATTAAAAGTCTCTAAAAATTTGTGGCACTTTTCTATAGGTTAAAGACAAAATTATTATTTTTTTTTTTTTCTTTTTACATTTAAACAGAGTTAATGTATATTTTAATAATTATTTATAAAGATTAAAAAAACAAAAAATGTAAATGAAAGATCCTAAAATGCCATTGTACTGAATTTAAAAATATACTAACATTGTTCAGTTTACATCAAGTTTAAGGACCAAAAAAAAAAAAAAAATAAAACAAGCTACTATCTTACATTTAAAGATGGTGCTGAAAAGAAAACTATAAATTTTTACCTAATTGATAAATGAAAAGTTGAATTTTTATATTTCTAGTCACCTATTCAAGTATTTGTGACAAAAAGTAATAGGTGACAATTGTTTCTATTAACTGGTGACTTGCCTTCAATTCAAAAGGTCAAAAGGTGTAATTTTCTTCCACATGGAGGAATTCAATGATACACTACAGCCTCCCAATGCACTTTATGTCAGACATTACTGTTACTCAGCTGTTGTATGAAACAAGGCAAAATAATTCATGGGTTACTGGGAAAGATTCAACTGCTACTCTTATATCAAACATGTGCCCCTGATATTGTGGGCCAGGAGACATTACTTTTAGAGCAGCCCTTGGTATCCATGAGATGGGTTTATTAAAAGAAACTAAACATATCAAAATCTGGAATTATTTACATGCTTTCATCAACTGTGATCTTGTGACGCCTCTGGCAGAAATGAATTTTAAATGATTAGAAATCATATTAACCACTTAGGAGTGGCTAATGAGATCTCTAGAAACTTTTAAATTTTCTTAATAATGCAGTGAATCAAATAGCGATTCAACACAATTTGAACACAAAAATGTCCCCATTCCAAGTGAACAAGCACTTTCTAATTTAAAGAGAGAAAATGAAGTATTGATGTAAAAGAATTTAGATATAGTAAATATGAATATATTTAAAAATAAAAAGAATTGTTAAAATGGTGATTTTTACACTGTGTAAAAGAACTTGAAAGCTAACAGAGCTACATACTTGTAATCGGTATGGCTTACACGAGCGTATCAATTCATTAATTAAACAGTTTGTATGGTGAAAATGGACGTTTTCATCTAACAGGCCATGAATAATCAGCAAACGGTTTTCTCTGAAAAAAAAAAAAAAAAAAAAAAAAAGAATTATCTTAATGCAGGTAAATGGTAGCTATTAAAATTGCTGGTAGAATCATAGCATGCATATAAAACTAAAATATATTCTTGTTTACATTTAATATGGTTTCATGATACTCAAAACAATATTAAATCATCTGAAATATCAAATAAAACAGACATAAATAATGTCTAAGTCATCTAGCTCTACTGAAGTAAAACTCAACTGCATGAAAAGTTATCTTATATGTCAACAGGTACTAAACATTTAAAATATTTTAAATTTTGTATGAATGTATATTATAAAATAAAAATTCCGGACATTAAAAATACAATACTTACACATTATGTGATAATGTTTCACAACAATAATATTTATACAGTAAACTTAAAAAAAAAAAAAAAAAAATCTAGAGCCATATTTATAGATTAGAAAAGAGATATTAGAAAAGAATATTAACAACATTTCTTTTATAATTAAAATAATCCTGAAAAAAGAAAATAAAGAAACTTACTCATCAGGGAACATATCTATGTAGAAGAGAACTGAACCTTCATGGTATCCTGTTGGGTTGTTCTGGGGAAGATCCATGTAACGTTCAGTGTAACCAGTGTCATAAAGTCGCCAGTTTACAACTGGTGCACCAGCAATGGCCAACTGATAGAAAAATAATGTTTCAAGATGAACAAAGAAAAAAAAAAATGTATTTCTTTCGTCTTATGTCTGCTATTCTATATCTCAATGCTTAGATTGTTACTCCTAGATCACCAAGCAGTATGGCTTCATGAAACAATGATCAACAAGTTGCAATGAAGACCAGTAGAAATAAAAAAAAGAAGAAATAACCAAAAAATTAATAACTGACTTCCTCTAAGAAATCTGAACACAATCATAAAATTTTGAATAAAAAAAGTTTAGCAAATATAAATTTGGTTTAAGATTTTTTTTTTTTTTTATAAAATATAAAAATTTATATAAAAAAAAAAATTGATTATTATTTTTTTTTTTTTTTAATTAAAGCCAAATCATTTATTCAAAAATATTCTTTATCAAATACAAAACTCTAATTTAAAAATATAAAACTTAAAAAAACAGTATAGGAATATTCTGTACAATAGCCAATCTTAGTGAAAAATTATCCATTTAATAATATGGTAAGTCATAAATAAGTTACAACTGCCATATACTTTGTTGCTGTAATGTTACTTGATGATTTAAGGCATCCTGTCACTTCTATGTTGCCTGCCTATATTGGGTGATCTGTAAACATCTTCAGCCAGTAACTTTTTTTCTTTTCTTTTTTAAATCATTTCTCTGATGGTAGGGGTTACTGAGTGTTAGAGAATATGTGAGAATAAAACACTATTAATGAGAGAGAACAATAAAATAAGAAGAATCAAAAAGATAGAAGATAACGATTAACATTTCATTTAAATTTTTGAAGATCAAAGTTAACTGGGAAGCAAGAAGCTAGAAGAGAGTTCCACAAGCAAGAAGTGCAAAAGAACAAACATAGTATAGCACTCATGGTTATATCTAGCCATTTCAACTGTAAAATGATGTGACCTTGTTGCCAATCTAGTACTGCGCATAAATCTAGATACCATAAAAGAAAGTTCATCAGAACAATTAACATGAAAATATTCATAGAAAAGGCACAGGGAAGCTACATTACAGCAGTGGGAAAGTAACTGAAGCTGATATGCACGGTCAGAACCAATAACATTGCCCCATTCTTCTTTGGATTTTATCAAGAAACTCTAAATATATAGCAAGAACACCAAACTAGATGTGGCAGCAATATTCAAAGCAAGGACAAATGGTAAACTTGTAAATATATAAAACAGAATCAGGCAAGAGAAATTGTCTAGCACAACACAGTAAACCAACTTTCCTAGCAGCAAACTTAGCAATTGATTCAATATAATCTTTCCACTTCATGTCAGCAGAAAACGTCAGACAGAGAAGGCGCAAAGAATCAATCTTCTGGAGATTAGCATCAGCCATGCTGATGGAAGGTTAAAAGGGTTATCTCAGACAATTAAAAGACAGCAGTTTTATTTTGGAGGCATTAAAATTAACAAGCCATTCTTGTCCCAGTTAATAACAGATTGTAAGTTATTTTTGAGATCTGCTGCCAATTTGACCATATCAAACCAATCAGACTTTATTAAATAGTTGTGTCATCAGGATAGATACAACAGAGTTGAGAATTGATGACATCAGGAAGGACATTTATGAAAATTAGGAACAATGTAGGTTCAAGGATAGAATCCTGGGGAACACCTGCATTAATGAAAAAAATATCTAGAAGATAACATTCATTTCATAATTTGATAATAAAGATTGAACTTGTGTAGAAGACCAGTATGCCAAACTGTGTCAAATGCCTTTAAGATATCCAAAGCAACAACAGTTTATTGTACAGTTTAGTGAGAACAGGGGCCAGTTCAGGAGTACATTTCTTAAGGATTCTTACAGGTATATCATCAAGTCCACCTGCTTTGTGGGGATCCAGTTTAGAGATGATAGCAGAAAACATGAATGGCATTATATACATATTACACAATAGACTCAATTGAAAAGTGGAAAGTCAGGTAAAGATAATCCAGATTAGTCAAGAGTAGAATTTGAATTTTTGGTTTGGTTTAGTTTGGTTTCTTTTACAGCATATCAACCTCAATTGGTTATTTAATGCCAACAAGATTTTTATTGCTGGTAATATTTTTTCAAAAAATGTATTGCTGGTAATATTTTTTTTCTTCAAAAATGTACCGCTGGTATTAAAACCTATTTTTACACTTTCATAGTGTTTTGACCCCAGCTTAGGGGTTAACTACTTGCTCATAGCTGGGATCCTAACAAATATTACCACCTCAGGTCAAGGTGGACCTAGGAACACCAGCAATTAAGAGGTGGTTTCACATTTCTCAAAACCTCCTGATAAGAGGCCTTGCTGTCAGACATAGTTTTTCATCTTACCCTGGACATGGATGTAGTTTATCATCATACCCAGGATGGGTAGAATTTGAAGAGAATTTATGAGCAAAACATTCTGCTTTATCAGCAGATGTTAACACCTTATATTACAATGTTGCCAGTAGGCATGAGAACCAAATTTGTTAGAGGCTATACAGTGCTTCATTCTATCAGCAAACAAAAAGCCTATTTTGAGAATACTTTTACAATTATAGTGAGCAGACACAAATAGGTGTCTGTTGTGATTGGAACTATCACTCTGGTACACCCAGGAAAAAATAATTCTTGTGTGCTATAATGGCTGAACAGGTTGGTGCGAACCAAGGAGAAGATTATGGTTTCAAAGAAGGTACAAAAGCATCAATGCTGGCTTTAACGCAAGAAACTTGGGGCAGAATTCTCAATAGGAAGCTTAAAAATATCAATCCAAGGAGCATCTCTAAAAAAGTCACAATACAAAGAACAAACTATCTTTGATACTACAGCAAAATTTCTTCAGGGAAATTTAAAATAGCTGGTTGCTCAATAGCAGAAACAAAAATGATAACATCTAAACTTATAATCTTTAGTTGATTGCTTAAGAGAAATACTACAAAGGCCCTTGAAGATTTATTAGGTTCAGTTATTTGGTTCTTCAGTCCTTGCTCTTTAAGAAAATCTAACATTTGTTGAGATTAGTATTGAGATATTTTCAATGTTCACACAAGTCAAAGTTACTTGTTCATAATTATCTTTTGACTGTGGCTGACTTGAATGAGCTTCTGCCTAATGTGATGACAATATTGACATTATTTACATGTGGACTATTGTTTTTGTATCAACATTTTGGCTGTTGTGCTCTCCAGCTTTTATTAACAGCCAAAGGTGAGGACAATAGTCCACAGGTAAATAATAACACCTCATCCCAGAAATCCAGAAAGAAAATGATGACTATACTTCAGACTTAAATTTAACTTGGGGTTAAATTGTTTGTTAAGTGCACTTTTTGTGCGTACTGAATGTGTGCATACTTTTTTTTTTTTTAATTCTTGTGAGATTATGGACAAATAAGAATGCCTATGTTTATATGTGGAAAAGTGTAGATTTTGTATACAGTTCACAAATAAAAATTTATAACACTTCCAAGAAATCATACTCTGAAAAACAGGACTGCTAAGTCTTTGAAGTCACTACTCTTCAAACAGCCACGGAAAAATTTCTCAAGATCAATATATTGAAGCAATGCATTTTATTACAGTTTTGACCAATATAACAGTAATGATTATGGTGAAATTATTTTTCTTTAAATATAAAAATTTAATTGCTTCATTAAAAAAAAAAAAAAAAAAAAAAAAAAAATCAATTTCCTTGTTGCAAGTCTCAGCATTAATTTAATGCTTTACATATAGAAAGAAGAAAAATTATGACTTGAATTAAAAATTAGTATAAGAGAAACTATATTGTGGATGATTTAGAGAAAATTGTGCAGAACAAAACAAAAATATGAAGTGCAGTTTCTATACTTGTTATGCATGAAATTCCTTCAATGTATTATAGAAAATTAGACTAAGTAATAATGGTAATTTAGAATGCAACAATTAATGTTAATCTTTAACAAAACATGTCTGAGTTGTTCTTTATGGCATTTCAGGTGAGAAGTCATATAGAACAAATCAGTTTGACATAGAAAAAAATGGTTGAAAGGCATCTAATATGAAATCTGTTAGATTCTGTATTAGAGGTTTTCAATCATTTTGAGAAATTTTTAATATTCTTTCATATCTCAATATTTTTTTTAGGAAAGCTTATGTGTATTCCAAATTTGGTTAAAGAAACTTTACAACCCAGAAATAATTCTATAAAAATTGAAATTATGCCTTCTTTACCCAATATTCATTAATATTTAATGAATACAGAAAAATGCCCAATCAAAAAAAAAAAATAGCAGTTGTCACAAAATTGCCTTTTGCCATTTGAAGATGAATTCTGTTCATTTCACAAACATACTGTGGTAATAAAATAAGCACATCTCATTTCCCCTATCACTTGTAACCATCCACTATAATGGATGTTTTCAGCACTAAAACAGAATTATTCAAATAAAGCTTCATAAGCTTCTACTTAGAATTGTTGCTATATTACACATACCTTGAAAACATTTGGTTTCTGTGCAAGGCCCATCAATGACAAATAACCACCTGATAAAAAAAAAATGCATAGCATATGAAAACATGCAGCTTACAAAAAAAAAAAAAAAAAGTTTCTGGCAGGATGCATCAGCTTGAAGTTATTAGCATAATTTTGATTTGAGATTTTCACTGTATGTTTGATCTACATGATTAATATTCATCAATGAATGAGTATATTAACAAGTTTATATTAAAAAATAAATATTTGTTGTCTAAAATAAATACTTATGTTCATCATTAGACATATTGATTTACCTACTATGTGAAATGATTAAGAACTTCATTATTAACTCATTCTCATGTAAATATTATAACAACATTTTATATTTACATTAACCCAAATTTATTTTGCATTATTAAAATTTAACATAATTCTTAAATAAAACTGAAAAGATACTTCCTAGATACTTGTATTTTGCCTTAATCTCTGTATATTAAAATAAACATTACAGAAAAACAAATGGATAATTTTTAAATACAAATTTAATATTGCAATTTTTATTAAAAAAAAAATCTTTTCAATTTCTTATACAAATAGTTATTAGTCTCACTTATTTTCCGTATCCTCTGATATCCATAGACTTGGTTTATAATAACTATTATTAACTGAAAAATAATTAAGCTTTCCTGATTTTTCAAAGTTTATAAAGAAAAATATTCAGATGCTTAAAATGACACTATTTCAAATGAAAAAAAAAAAAAAAAATTAAAAAGTTCCAAACTGACAAACTGTAAAAATTTTTTATGTATATATTTTCTTCACTTAAGAGAATTGCTGCACAATTCCAAGAGATGCATTAGCTGATCTTTTAGAAGACTTATGAAAGTATTTAATTAACTTTCAGATAATAACTACATCTAATATTATCAAGATATGTACACATTTGCAAAAAAGCAAAATTATACGTATCAAAATATTTTATTTTAAATGTAAAAATACCTGAATGGTATATAGTATCATAGATCTTCCCAGAGCGTTGCCACCGCAGTGATAGATAACGCCTGGTTAGGATCATTACATCCTGCCATGATAATATTCCTAATTTCTAAGATTCCCAGAATAAGGGCTAGGGTTGCTTCGCTTGAACTGAAGGATTATTGGCAGAATAGATAAAGATTTTATAACAAAAAAATAAATGTTAGTTCAATTAGAACTAATTGAACTTAGTATTCCCAGGTTCCCTAAGTAACACATTCAACTCACCACAGACCAAAGATGAACAAAACAAAGGACATTAACATATATAATAATTTAATGAACAAAAAGAAGGGATGAATGACAATAGCGGAAGGGGGTTGTATGAAATATTATCTCTATCCAATGTTGGCAGATGATGAGTGACGACGAATGCAAGACCCAACACACATAACAGGACATTCATTAATATTCTAATCAAACATGTGTAATGGTGTTTGCATGAACATAATATTAGTGTGTCTGTTGCAGGCTAATTCTATATCGGGGAAAGGGGTGCAAGAACTTATCTGATGTTTTTGTGATTTAAGAGACAGCTTCATTATAATAGTCTTTTTTCTCCTCTTTCTGGTGACCAGGGGTTATATTTTCAATCTGGTTCGTATCTTTCACTTCTGGTCTGCAGCCGGATTTTCTTCTTTATGTAACTATGCTTGGAGTCGCTATGGCCTACTGCACTGGACAATTTCTTCACGTTCTCAGCACTGGGAACAGTCTGGTTCGCTTTTCTGCCTCAGGAGATGCGTGGTCGCAGCTTACTTTCTCGAAGTTGCAGCTGATATGACTTCACCCGTCACGATCTGGCCAGCTACTGATTTTTCGAATCACTTAATGTGTTTCTTCTTTTGGTGCCTAAATTTTCTGCTCGCTGATTGGTTGTTCTCAGCCAATCATGTTGCTTCTTTCATATGCCACTTTGGCTGGGTTTATTTTAGTGTTTGCCTACGCATATGCAATCTAGATTATTGTTGGCTTACATTCGTCACAATAGACAATAATCAAGTAAAAGGAATGTTACCGATTACTTGAAACAATTCTAATGATAGCATTTAAAATACAAATATTAAAATCCTTATGAATAACTTGAAAGGTACCTACCATAGGACCAACCATGAATAGCCACTCTGTTCAAATCAATAAAATCTACATGAGATGATAACCAATGAAGTCCTGCCACTTGGTCTTCCAACTCTACATTACCCTATAAAGAAAATGATAAAAATAAATAAAACCGAATTTAACAGAAACTAACAATTTTTTTCTAATATTTTACTTATCTTATAGTAAAACTTATATACATGTTATTTTTCACCATAAAATCCCTTCTTTTTTAACAAGAGAAAATAATTCAATATTGAAAATATACAAAATTACAAAAATTTGCAAATTCTAACTCATTAAAAGGATTAGTAAATACAGACAATAAATAATATGGCAACACCCATAAGAATGTCAATTTTGACTTGAGTGATTATATATATATATATATATATATATATATATATATGGTAAGGGATTGCAAATATTTTGATAAAAATTTTGAAGTCTTCTGATGTAGTAATACTCATGACAGTGTTTGTGCCTTAGATGATGATGCATCCTGTTATAAGCTTCAGTGTGGTGAAAAAGTCCAGTGCTCTTTTAATTCAATTAGTTATTTGAGATGACTCAGATTGTGCATCTTTGATAAGCTGGATGGTCATTTTAAAGAATTGTTGTACATGTTGACAACAGTGGTCAAATGTACATTACTCCACACAAAGATCAGGTTACGAGTGACCATGTAACACAGACACTTGCTGAGAAAGTCTCATTGTAAGGGCTGCCATGATAGACCATACAGTTTCAACAACACAGATCAGAACAAATCTATCCCCAGAAGTGATAACAGGAAGGTCAGGAATTGTTTATTTGTAGCAGGATGACAGACATATATGCCTCAAATCAGAATTCAACTTACACCGCACTATTATACATGTTTCCAGTGGTATCACTAAAGTGTCACCTGGGTGTTCAGTGATGAGTGCTTTTCAGCAAATGAGGGTTATTTGTATGCATAATGAAGATTTGGGGAACATTATACAGAGTATGTTCACTTGTCCCACACAGGTCCAACACCATGCTGGATGACATATTACAAATCTTGTTGAACAGTATCATGTATATCAAAAACCCTTTACTTCCTATAACAGAAGATGTGCTGTTCTAGCAGAATAATGCTTGCTATTACATATGGGGAGGATTCATTTAGTTAACCTCCCCACCCACATCTCTTGCAGTATTGCGTCAACAGATGCAAAAAAAAATCAAGTAATTACAGGATTTAATATTTGTACGAGTGTATGCATGTGTGTAAAGTGCATAAATATTAAAACTAAATAAAGATTGCACACTAGTTATTTTGGAAACTGTGTATGAATTAATTTGTATTGTGATCATTTATGGGAATCCAATTATATTACATGGAGAGTGTTGCAATTTTATTTTTCAACATTACATGTTAGCATATCTTTAAGTTGTTCACTTTCAATTTTCACTTACATATGCCTGCAGCTGACACAAAATTATGCATAAAAACTTGGAATACTTCTGCACAGATTATATAAAAGAAAAAATTACCGACCCAAAATATGATCTATTTTCTATATGAAACATTAATATGATCACTATACAAAGTTTACATGATTTACATCAGTGAAACTTATTTTGATCTGAAAAATGAAGGGATTTAAATTGAAATAAAAAATCATGTGCAATAAGTTTTTTTAGGTAACTTTATATATAAATAAAAAGATTATTTGTTTTATTTAAACTACAGAGGGTATGATGGGTAAATTTTCACCATTTTATATTTTTAATTTTGTGCATGCATGTTTGTTTTTGTCAACTGCACAGTATATTAGGGTCAATTTGGCACCATCTGTGAGAAAAAGAGCACCATGACGCAATTCAATCTGCCAGAAATTTGGAAACAGCATGCTTTACTGTTTGGCATTTGTGTCAGAAGCTCCAATATGAACATTTCAGAGTGTTTGGGTGTCAATGTGAGGACAGTGCAGAGGATTCAGAAAGAGTTACACGAGTCTAATAGTGATTACGAAGGTATGGTAGCTTGGAAAACTCACTCTGATCATTCTGATAAGAAAAGAACTCCCAAATTGGGCGGGGGGGGGGGCTCAAACTCAACATCAAGTGCCTTGAGGAGGTAGTGCTGCCCTAGGTCCAGAGGGTGGTTCCAGGACTCTGCATCATGTCACCCAAGCAGGAGAACCCAGCCGTAGCAATCAATTTCTGCAACCACATCACCCTTACATCTGGCCACCTAACTCATCAAACTGCAACCTTCTTAATTATTATGTGTAGGGGTGCAGTTGAACAAGAGAAACAAACAAAATTTCACCAAAGATGAAATGATGAACTGAATTATGGCAGCATTCACCAACTTAAACAAGGAGAGGATCCAGAAGAGTTAACTGAAATCTATTAGACATGGCATGTGGTTGAGGAGTCAACCCAGTTTATTGAAAATAAAGGGTTCAGTTCAACATTCCAAGTATTTGAAAAGGCCAGAGTGTATTTTGGTAAAACGTTGTGATAAAATGGCAACAAAGATGAGGATAATAGTCCAAATAATGTAAATAATGCATATTGCTATATTCAGTTACCTTTCAGAATTTTCCCTTCTTAATATATAATTTATATTTCTGAGCATTAGCACAAAATTTGCAAATGGAGTTTTCAGAATTACACTGAAATAAATTGAAAAACAAAAAATGGCAGATACTTATAACTGCTTCTACGTCTCAACAATTGGGAACTTCTTTGTTTAGAAATTCAAACTGAATTCTAACATTTGATATATTTTTTTTATTTTTCAACCAGTCAAATTTAATCTTTAAAAAATTTTTTAAAAATCTAAAATAAAGCAGACTTCAACTTAATTCCAATTAATACAGTTTATTTCAAACATCTTAAAATGACTTACTAAGCAGCCATTAATATGGCTCTCAAATTTAAGGCCTCGATGACAAGATCCACGTCCATCTATAAGTACGACCGCATAACCTTGGGCAGCTAGTGTATGCAAACGTAGGAACCTAGTAATTCAAAATAAGTTATAATTAAAAAAGAGAATAGCAAAATGCTGATGAAAGAGTTTCATAACAAACAAGATGATTTACTTACTTGAGACCTTTAAAGGAATTATTAACTAGTTGTACTTGGGGTCCTCCATAAACAAATAGTACAGTTGGATATTTGACCCCTGGTTCCATGTTATGTGGTTCATAGTACATACCATGCAATTGACAGCCATCATCAGTCATAAAGTCAAATAGTTTGGGAGGCTGGTAATCAGAGTGTTCATCTACAACTCAAAAGAAATTTATAAAACATAGCAAATAACTAGTCAGTAATTTCAATTTAACAATATCAATTAACAATAGAATGTTGTAAATAAACAAACCAATAATTTAAATAGCATTGATTTTTCTGAAGGTTCAAATTCTATTTATGATTTATTTTGACTTCATAATCCTGAAACTGAATCTTAGTTAAATATACTCATAATTTCAAGTTCAGTTTACCAGTAAAGCATTATCCATTTACAGAATACTTTATAATTAATCTGCCAGTTGAAAATAAACTGCAAGCGATTCTATTGGATTAATCTAGGTACCACCACAGAGAATGTGATACCTAATGTTTAAAATAAATTTTAAAAAGCGAAAAATTTTGCTTGAAGCTTTTATTTTAGTTTTAATTTCAAGCTAATACATTATATTTTAATATTTCCAATAAGTAAAATACTTTGCTGTATTTCAAAAACTAATTTAAATTTACTGGAAGAAATTTGTTTTGTTTCTTTTTTTTTGTTAAAATAGCTGATTAGTGTCCTTTTTGATTGTCTTTCATAACAATGTAATTTTCTTTGTTAAGAAAGAAAAAGAAGAAAGAAAAAGAAGAAAGAAAAAGAAGAAAGAAAAAGAAGAAAGAAAAGAAGAAAGAAAAGAAGAAATAAAAAAGAGAAAAAAAAAGAAGAAAAAAAAGAAAAAGAAAAAAAAAAAAAAAGAAGAAAGAAAAAAATTAAAAAGAAGAAAGAAAAGATTTCTGAAAAAAAAAACAAAGAAGAAAGAAAAGAATTTTAAAAGAAGAAAAAAAAAAAGAAAGAAAAAGAAAGGTTTCAAAAGAAGAAAGAAAAAAGAAAAAAGAAGAAAGAAAAAGAAAAAAAAAAAAAAAAAAAGAAGAAAAAAAGAAAAAAAAAGAAAAAAGAAAAAAAGAAGAAATTAAAAAAGAAAGAAAAGAAAAAAAAAAAGAAGAAAGAAAAAGAAAAGAAAAAAAATAAAAAGAAAAAGAAAAAAAAAAAAAACTAAAAAAAAAGAAAAAAAAAAAGAAAAAAGAAGAAAAAAATGTTCCCAACGAAGTTAAAATATACTTTTCTGAAACTTTATTTGAGGAATATGAATTAGTTGATTTAAAGTATAATTAATCTGATTTGAAACAAATATTTACTTTAAATTTGAAATATAACAGAAATGCATTTTTTAACCCAACAGTAGCTGTTTATTTAATCTGTTGATGTGTTTGACAGCTTGATGACAGTTTATCAAATGTTGTTGGGAGGGGGGGGGTCAATATTCAAATTTAAATTTAACCATTAAAAAAAAATAAAATAAAATAAAATTTGAATATAATGTGAGTACCTTTTATATACTACTTTTAAGTACTCAGTAATCTTAAAAATAACAAAATATTCATAAAAAAAAAAAAAAAAAATTCAATATTCTTTTAAAAATATTGGTGTTTGATGATTTATACTAAACTTAGTGTCCTTAATATATCTTATTTAGAAAAACAATTAAAAGCTTTTCTAATTAAATAATTAGATAGTTTTATTGCATTTCTTATTTTATGATTCAGAGCAGATTCTCAGTCAATGATGTTTCTGTTTGACAAAAACAAATTAATTTAAATTCACCAAGGAGTTCTGCTTTTAACTAATGTAAATATAAAAACCTGGAATTTTAATTTATACAAATATCATAAAATTAAGTGGGGGTAACAGATAAAAAAAAAAAAAAAAAAATTCAACAATAATTTATTTGTGAATAAGTCCTGAAAATTTGATGGAAATCCAACAATTATTTGATTTTTGCAAGAATTTCCAAAACAATGTGTTTTAACACCAAAAAAAATGCTAAAATTTTCAATACTAACCTGACACAAGAAAAACAAAAATTTTTAACCAAAATTTCAAACATGCCAGAAAGGATTAAAAAATTTAATAAAATAATAAAAAAATATTTTGGTCTTTCCTCTTAATAATAACAACCATTTTAACAATAAAATTTCGTTTTTATCTATTTTAAGGCCCTTTTTCATCATGCTATGCTCTTTTTTTAGCAAATTTTTGGTGGTACTTAAATTAATCTATTTGATTTAAGGGATAAAAATGGTTCATAACTTTCAAAGGTCACTTAAAAAATATATACATAATTTATAGTGTAAGTAAATGTTTTTATTTTCTAAGTAAAGAATTTTTATTTAATTATTTATGACAATATAATGATACTAAAAAACAAATATAAACCAAACTAAATTAAAAATGTACAATATCATTACAATATAGTAATTATGGCTTTAAAAACTGACATTTTAAAAGCATATATTCACATAATATGTACAAATATATTAAAATGGGAGAGGAAGAGCAAGGATAAGATATTACTAACCATAAAGTGGCGAATTGAAATATATAATAAAAAAACAAGAGGAGAAAAAAGCTAACCAGTCATTGCTCCTTTCTTTTCAGAGCTTAATCAAAGGCAAAACATGCACATGATAAACTTAAAAAAAAAAAAAAAAAAAAAAGAGAGAAAGAAAACTACCACCAGATTAATCAGACTACATTAAAACCTAGCAACCATTCCTTCTGCTTACAGAGGAAAAACAATACACAGGATCTCAAGCACTTTATCAACGAACCTTCCTTCTCTAAGCAGAAGGAATGGTTGCTGGGTATTAATGTAATCTGTAATTTAAATTGCTGATACTTTGGTAGTAGTATTTTTGAACTTCCTCCTTTTTTAGTTGTTGAGCGCATATTTATGTTTTGTCCTTGACTGAACTCTGAAGAGTAAGGAGCAATAACCAGTTAGCTTCCGTTTTTCCCTTTTGTAATTTTTTTTAATTCTCAATTTTACAGCAAATCATTTTTTCTTATCCTTACACTTCCTCCATCTTTGTTGTAATATATTTGTATATATTATGTGAACATATACTCTTAAAATATTCATTTTTTTAATAATTTCACCTCAAGCAAGGCAATAAAGCCACTAAGATGCAAGAGGTTATATTTGTAAAAGTCAAAACTCTGTACTACCCTACAGATTATTTAAATATAGTAATTTGATTTTTCAGACTAATTTTATTTTACAGCAGCTTTTAAAGCAAAAGATAACATTTTATGAAGACAATACATATAGAACAACTTATAAATTAAAATCAAAAGTAAAAATATTTTTAGTATTATGCACACATAAAATACTAATCAAGATTTCCAAACACTTTTCAGTAATGGACTTTTCTAGTAATGGACTTTGAAACTTGAAAATTGAATTTTAAATTTAGAGAGTATTTGATATTGATTTTATACAATGTGAAATCAATGGCTGACAAGTGGAAACAGTTATGTCTGTTTTGAGGAAAATGGTGTTAAGTTCAAACATTCTGATGTCTCTTGAGCCATGTGTTTATTCAAAGCATTTATGGTCATGTAGGGTATCATTTAATTTTTTTTAAAAATAACATGTGTATGTTCATTATCCATTGACTTTTCCTAACCACAATTAACTATGTTCCATCTTATGTTATGTTTTATGATTAATCATTTCATCCCAAGGTAGGCAATAAAGCCACTAAGACACAAGAGGTTACTGAGTGTTAGAGAATATCAGAAAATATACTTTTAAGAAGAGAAGGCAATAAAAGAACAAGATAACAATTGACATTTAAATTTTTGAAGATCAAAGTTGACTGGGAAGCAAGAAGCCAGAAAAAGCTCCAAAAGTGAGAAATGCAATAGAAGAAACTATTAGCATATAACTGACAGTTACATTTGGCCATTTCAATTGTAAAATGATGGGACTTTGCCACCAATCTAGTACTGCACTTAAATTCATAAAATCTAGGTACCATAAAAAAAGGCACAGGGAAACTATGTTATGGTGGTGGAAAAGTGACTTAAGCCAATTTTGTCAGGACCAATGATATTGCACATTCTTCTTTGGATTTTATTAAGAATCTCTAAATATGCAGCAGGAACACCAGATGTGGCAGCAATATTAAAAGTAAGGACAGATGGAAGACTTGTGAATATGTAAGACTCCAGCAAAAATAAATTGTCTCACACAACACAATGAACCAACTTTCTTAGCTGGAGCCTTAGCAATTGATTCAATATAGTCTTTCCACTTCATATCAGCAGAAAATGTTAGTCCAACAAGGTGCAAGGAGTCACTCTTCTGAAGGTTAGAATCAGCCATATTGATGAAAGGTAAAAAGGCTTCTCTCAGATGAGAGTTCTTCTGGTTGCAAATAATTTATTTCAAGGGCTGAAGAAATGCAAACAATTTTAGATTAACTTCTAACTCCTTTCCTTTGCCTAGAAGAACACTTAAATCTAGATTTTCTTAATATAATTATGTAAGTGATCTAGTTATTTATATGCAGGATTTTTTTTTAATCCATTACAATCATAATTACAAGATGGTTAAAATGAATTGTGTGTTAAATAATTTACTAGAAAATTTTATGACTACATCAATGAGAGGATTAAAAAAAAAAAACCATTGTAATACTTACTAGGTTTTATAAGATGCCCTAAAAGCTCAGAAGAAAGTTGTCCATTGCAATCAACAAGTCTGCGCACACAACACCTTGGTGTTGTTTCCAAACTGCTGTAAACAGTTACAAACATGGAACAATCCTACAAATAAACAAAGTTATAGTGATTAAATCAAGAAGAATAAGAAATGTAATCAATTTGTAAAAATGCATACATGAAAGGTCATTCCATGAGTGATACTGGTACCATGTAACCAAATACTGACTACAGGATGGTTGGGTCATTGGTGTGTAAACTGGTTCCCTACCAGGCTTTTCTGGTGAGGAAGGTAGCAAGACAACCAGCCTGATTAAAAACCAAACCTGTGAAAGGGTAAATGAATAGACTGTGCTCCATAGTTATGTATGCACTGTGATGACACAGTATCAATGGGTGGAAGACTTCCTAGACCAAAGTAAACAGCCAAGGCAAAGGGTTCCCTCACATGGAATCAATGACCATATGTCTATGATCAAGGCAAGCCTTCAAGTGGGAGGATCATTAGCTGTGGTTTGATCTAAAGAGGGATGGGTTCTGCCAGATCTACTTGCCCAAGACAAACTACATATGAATGAATAACTCTCCAGCTTCCAACCCAGAAATATGCAAGGAAAAAGTTAAGTGTTCAGCTGCACATAGACCATAAAACCACACCAGTTATGGGATTGATGATGATATGCATCAAAGTGCTTGTATGTCTACAACATTTTCAACAAAACAAAATTCATGGTAACTAACACAAAATGCAAACTTAAGATAGAATGTTTGATAGAGTATCCAGCATTGCAGTTGAGATGATGCAATGACAAAAAAATGCTAATATCTCAAACATAATTACATGAAGATACTGATTATGATGTCAATCTAAAATCCAATATAGAATTATAACATTTTTTTTAGTCATAATAATTTAAGAGATAACAATTGAATTAAACATGTGAGAGTACTGAGAAAATCTAAGTCTAACCAGAAAAGCCTGAAAAAAAAAAATAAATAAATACAAAAAAATAAAATAAATTCTGTTTCTTCACTTGGTTGTATTTTGGGAAGTAGGTTAGGTGAAGCTTTTCAGTCCCAACTGTATAGTTTTATCACATTGTACAAACTGTAGACTTAGTGAAGACAAAAAACGCGAAATATCTACACAAAGAATAATCATCTAACAAGGGCAATATCTTGATAATTGATACATTTTTAAGTTGTCTAACAACTACTCAAATAGAAGATTAAAAGTAGATTAATATTGGAGAATTTTTTGAAATGCTAAAAATATTTCTTAGAAAAAAATAAACTGCCAAAAATTATGAAATTAGAAATTACTCACTGCATTGAAAGACACTGCATGAGAATATCCTAGTTCAGTAAGTCTTACTGGTTCTCCATGTACAAGATAGGACACAACATACCTGCAAAATGAAGATTGGAAAGCATTTACAAATACAATGCTGATATATCAAGCCATGCATATTGTTTCAGTTTACAAAATGTTAATCTTTCAAGACAAATACTGCTTATTCATAGAAGACAATATACTCACTCTATGTACACATTAATAGTCACTATAGCTGCAGAATCATAGCATTTTAAAGTTTTGAATTCAGAGCCTGCCATTCTAAACTTTTGTCTCTTCACAAGAAAATCAACAGCCTACCATATATTAAATATATGATTACAGCACTTAATCTTTTGAGAAATATTACTCAACAGCTTTTTGAAAATATCTGAACCTCAAAAATATCACATTAAAATTAATAGTCAATTTGAGGCTACCAAATGTTCAATAAAGCTTTGCAGTTTTATCTGAATCTATACAAATATTTGGGATAGTTTTGACTGTTTCTAAACAAATCACACTTCATTTTTCTATTAACTCAAATACAAAATTGATGTAATTGTGAAACTAAGCGTAACTTTTTTTTCTTTTTTAAGTATTCAAGACAATTTATTGTTATTTACACTATTTATATTCAGATTATTGTCCCCGTTTTTCTTGCTGTTATCACATTTTGGCTGTTGTACCCTCCAGCCATTATCAGGTGTATATTGATTCAGGTAACCTATAGTAATTGTAAGTTCAATCCCTAGGACAGGCAGTGTGTATTTGGACTCATTGGAAACAGAGCAAGCAATAAATGAGCAGTACTAAAAATAAGAACTAGACAAGATATCCCTCGATATGGGCAATGGAACAAGAACAGTCTAACCTCGTAGATTAAATAAAGGGTTCTGTTCAGAATTCCCTGTAGGTTACCTGAATCAATATACATTTAATAAAGACCAAAGGGCACAACAGCTGAAATGTGATAACAAAAATGAGGACAATAGACCAAATGTAAATAAGAATATTTTATCCAAATTTGAAAGTCCCTAGTGGTACCTTATTTAACATTGATAAACAAGGCAATTTATTGAATAATACTATGTATGCAAATTGAAATACACATAGTATGGCAGAATAGTACAAAATAATTGGTCATTGCAATGTTAAGAGTATTTTGAAATTAGTGTAGTGAGTAAACATATATATACTTTAACACACTCATGTACTGGTTAAAACACACACTGGCCTGTCTTCCTGCTATTGCTGCAGGAGACATGGAGTTCTTATCCTCTTTTATAAAATTTATATAATAAAAAAAGATATGTAAAAGTTTATAAAAATAATTGAATAACTGAAAGATATTCATCATTTAAAAAATTCAGACAGAAATAATTTTATTGTATAAATCTTAGTATATTAATAGTATGGTTTCAGTAGACAGATTTTAATAAAAAAAAAATAACTAATGAAATAATTTTTCTTCAATTAACAATTTAATCCAATGTTTTACATTCAAACATTGATGGTTAGCTAGCTGTCATAAAGACTATAAGAGAGTACAGAGCCACAAAAACTAGATAGGATAATCACCTTATCTCATGGGATTTACAAGAGAGTGCTGTAAGTTCTTCGCCTGATCCTCTTCCCAAAATTTAACCAAACATCAGATTTTTTGAAGGCCAAAAATTTTTAGCACCCCCTTATACATGGAACTGCAAAACTGATGATAATGCATTTCTGATGAATTTTAAAAAGAATTACAGATAGGTAATGCATCATGAAAAACTTCAAAATACTCTTAAGAAAACAATGTATTTGCTGCTTTGTTTCATGAAAATTTCTTACCAGTAAAAAAGCTGGTAATAATTATATATATATATATATATATATATATATATATATATCAATAAAAACAAATGAAAAATCTAACAAAATAAGTTAACACTTACAGATGAGACTCTAGAACTCTATCCTTCAGACCAATAAAGTACACAAGACCCCTCTCTTCATCAACAAAAAACTGAAATAAAAATTTATGAAAAAAATAAAGGAATGCAGAGATTTTAAAAAACTAAGCAAGTTATAAAAAATAAATGAAATATAAATAATATATCTTCAGCAATTCCTGAATTGAAAGTTCTAGAAAAATGAACTAAGATACAAAGATAAAGTATCAGATTGACAAGTCCTGATAGGGTAATATAAAATGAAAATATTTTATCTGCAAATCATTCTTGAAAATATACAATATTCCATCTTTTCCAAATAATTTAAAATTGCTATCATTTTAGAGGGTTTCATTTTAGCTGTTAATAACCAATCTCAAATATTTCATAGTTGGAATGCACTTTCTGACACTTGTGTGTTAAAATAGATGCATTTTGTGAAAGGAATTTATTTTTTTTACAATTGTCACTGCATTTTCCACTGATAAGATATTAATAGAAATTAAAATATTTTTACTCTTATTCTAAATATAAAATAATAAAGTTGTTTAATAGTTTATGAATTAATAAAATTTCATAAAGCCAGTGCCACAAAGAAAATTAAAATACCTCTTTTGGTAAGACTTCCCAATCACCAGACGTTAGTGCTACTTCAAATAAAATATTTGGTTTGAAATATTCTGAAATATACAAAAGATTTCAAATGAAAATAAATAAATAAGTAAAATAAAATAAATTTTAAAAAAAGAGAAAAGAATTTAATGTTAACATATAGATTTTGTTATGCATATACAGTGGGTAGCAAAAGTATTTAACACATTGGTTTTTCTTACATATCTCAAAAAATAACAGATCAATTTCAACGAAACTTATAGGAAATATTTAAACGAACATTGTTGATCAAAACAGAAGGAAAATTTAAAACCACTGTTTTGAGAAATATTTATTAACAATAAATAAAACAACCCATATGCAAAAGTATTTAACACACTTTACTAATATTTAGTACAGTAGCCTCTGTTCTGCTTCACAGCCTCCAGTCGTTTCCCGTAGTCTTCAACTAGTTTCTTCCAGGTACTTGTTGGTATTTTGACCCATTCTTCTTCACAAATTTTCTTCGATTTATTTAAATTTGATGGATTTCTTTTATGAACTCGTAACTTCAATAGTTTCCACAAATTTTTGATTGGATTTAAATCCGCTGACTGGCTTGGCCATTCCAGGATATTAATGTCATTATTATTAAACCAATTTTTAGTTGTTTTAACAGTATGCTTCGGGTTATTGTCTTGCTGAAATACAAAATCACGACCATGTCCCAAAGATGTGGCACTGTTCAAGAGTTGAGTTGACAAAATTTGAGTGTATTTTGCAACATTCATTGTTCCTTCGATGATTTTCATTTTTCCTACTCCATTTGAGGAAAAACAACCCCACATCATAATATTTCCACCCCCATGTTTGACTGTAGGGATGGTATTTGCTGGCTTGTATTCCGCTCCTTTTTTCCTCCATACATGAGTGCGCATGTTTTGTCTGTAAAGCTCAGTTTTCGTTTTGTCTGACCAAATTACTTTCTCCTAGAAATCATTAGATTCAATTTCATATTTCTTTACAAAATTCAAACAGGCTTGTACATGTCAGCGTTTCAGTAATGGAGTCTTTCTCAGTGATCTTGAAGTGAGACCTGCACGATTCAGCGATCTTTTAATTGTATCTTTACTAACTTCAATTCCGGCATTTTTCAAATCATTCTGAATTTCTCGACAAGTTGAAAATGGATTTTTCTTCAGAGTACGAGAAATGTATCGCTCATTAGCCTCATTTAAGATGCAGGGACGACCACTCCTTTGAATGTTTTCAAGAGTATCGAATTTTTTCCATTTTCAAACAACAGCACCAACTGTACTCACAAGCAAATTCAAATCTTGAGCGATTTTTCTAGATCCCTTACCATCATTGTGATTCTTTATGATCTTCTTGCACATGTCATTCGACAATTCTTTTGTCTTCACCATTTTCTTGAAGTAGTGGCAACAGAATAGCTGCAGTGTCTCAGAACTGTTATCTAATAGCCAGTTGAGTGTCGTGGAGTGCTGTCATTGGTTGACATATCACATCATATCAATATGGGTAGGAATCATGACGACATGTCTCTTCTAGCATAATATTTGCATTGGTGTTAAATACTTTTGCATATGGATTATTTTATTTATTGTTAATAAATGTTTCTGAAAACTGGTTTTAAATTTTCCTTCTATGTTTTGATCGACAATGTTCGTTTAAATATTTCCTATAAGTTTCGTTGAAATTGATCTGTTATTTTTTGAGATACGTGTTAAATACTTTTGCTACCCACTGTATGTTCCCAGTAAAAATCATTAGCCAATTGATATTGATAGAACATTTACAACATATTTATATGATAAATATACCATGTGAAATTCAGCTTATATCTGTTTTTATTATAAATATTTTTAATTTATTTTTAATTTAAAATATATAAATATTGCCATGAGTCCTAAAAAAATATAAGCCGCAAAGAGAAACAAAGAGAAACAAGATATATTTTTATTAAGTGACAATAATACAATGTTGGAATTATAAAAATAAATAAATAAATAAAAATTAAAGAAAGTTTTGTTTTTTTTTAATAAATATATATATATATATATATATATATATATATAAGTACAGGTAATAGATCTGTTGGTATATAATCCAGGTGGATCTAGTAATAACAAATATTCAAACTGATCCATAGAGAGCTCAATGTATTTATTATAACAGAGCATTTTTTTTTTTTTTTACAGCAAAAAACAAAATTACCTCAACATGAGTATAGTCTATTTCAATCTGGTCTGAACCCAGCTGTCTTCAGCTCTTAAGTGTTTGTCTGGAAGTAGGGATTTAAATTAATTTTCAATATCAGTCCTCCTCTGACAGAGACACCTTGTTTATGATAAGGGGCTTGTGTTGGCTCAACATATTTCATTACGGGGGAAGTGGTCTGGGGTTGGAGTTTATTTATGGCTAGAGCCTTTCATTGTCTGTAACTAAATTTCATTTCCCACTATGGGGTCCTCTGTATGCTAGCAACAAGTGTGTTTTCCTGGGATTTACAGTAAATAGTATTTAGACCACAAGAGTTTAATGCTATTAATAAGTTATGGGAGATTTAACCTTAAGGTCAATTAAATTTAGGTAAGTTAATTGAATGATGGGTTCATAAATTGTGGGTAATACCGGGACACCTAATGGAATAGATAATGCTATCCAACACACATACACAACACATATGCATGTCTGTGCATTTACATATACATACATATAAGTAAGTACACATGTGCACATACATACACCTACATATACATATATTCTTATGTAATTTTGAATCTGTTCTTGTCTACATTTCATAATTAGCTCTTTCCATTGATTTAATAGTTTGCATTGATTTTTGTATTTTATTATCCTGATTTTCTCCTCCAAATATAGCGTGCAACGATCTCTAAAACTATTGGGGATGTTTGTGGAACCTAAAATTTTCCAACTTATTTGGGGATTCAGACCATTTTCCTTCAATTCCCCAAATTTTTTTGAAAGGGCTGTTTTAATTTTAGATTAGTAAATGTGTGACTATGTATATTGTTTCTCTATTTAAATTCTCCTGCAGAAATGCTGATGTAAATATTATAATTTGTCATATTTTCTTGGCGGGGGGTGTCTGGTATACTACCCTAGTGGATTTGCATTTGCCCTCCACTGAGCAGTTTTTCTCAATTCGACAATTACAGGGGGTTTCCATGCTAGATTTACTTTTTTTTCCCCATGGAATTTACTTAAGATGTAATTGTTATGAGAATTAATAATTTGATACATATTATTAGTGAAGGAGTAGCTAATTTTTATTGACTTCCTGTTGATTTACAGGATCTTTTTTTTTTTTTTTTTGTTTGGAAGTGTTTAGTAATTAATTTTAGGAAGTACTGTCTGATGTTGGTACTTGAAAGTTTGCAGAAGAGTCGGGGGTACTACATTTTTAGGAAATTCTGAGCACTTAAAAGGAAACAAAGCAGCTTTGAGGATATTGTAAATATTTCTCATCAATTCCAAAAAGAATTAGTAAAATAAATATTTAAAAAGTAAGAAGATCCATAAATATTGTAATAATTTTTAGAAATTGTAACTAAAACTTAGTTCCTTTAAATCACAAAAAAATTTGTCTTAATAGAGAGAGAGAGAGGAAGAAAAAAAAAAACAATGCTGACTGACAATAGTAAATATTACCATCAAATGTGTAGCTGTCTAAGTCCATATCATTGGCATCATCAACATGCTCAAGACTGGATCGTATCAAATAAAGGTGACGGAAACCTGTACGTTCACTTGACCAAAGAAACGTCATTTCACTTGCTTTATCTTGAGGAAAAAAGTGTAACAAGTTATGAACCTGAAAGAAAAAAAAAAAAATTAAAAACATTGAAATGAATTTGGTACATTAAAATGGTGATTTCAATGACAAATAATAGCAAAGGAAGATATCAAATATTGAAAAAAAAAAAAAAAAACCTGATTTGAACCAATTTACAATAAAAATGAAATAATATAAATATTTCATATCAGTTTTAATTTAAAACATGCTTTAACATTTTTAAATTGACTTGAACGTTAAGTACAATCGTAAGATAATAAAGTAACCTTATTAATACTTAGCATTAATAAATAAAACAAAAACATTTACTTACATTGACCCAGACATCAGATCGATCATCAACCAATACATGAATATTGGACATGAGATATGACAATTCATGGCCATCATCTGGACATTGAAAGCATTCTTTTTTAATGAGAACTAACGCCAGTCGATCTTGTGTTCGAGAGAGAAGCTGAGCATACACACTGAAAAAGGATATCAATTATTTCAAAAGTAGCAGCATTCAAATTGAGGCACTTTAAAACAAAGAACAACTTTTACTAAGAGTCAAATGCTGGATGCTATATAATATTTCCATTTTAATGAATTAATATTAAAACTACCATGACAATATTTATCTGTAAAGACAAATTTTAGTTTATCTGAGGAACATTTAAAGAACAAATATAAAAAATATTAGTTTCATAAATTTAAATGTCTTAATAGCTAAAGTAAAGAATTTATATACAGACACCAGGACACACAAAAAGACAGTATTTACTTTTTAAAATTTGATATTTTAAAATTTTTAAAGAGTTTAAATAGATTTCTTTATACATATAATCTCTTTATATTCTCCAACTATGTCATGTACATAGCCTTTGACCATATTTTGTGGATGATCAATGTTTGTAAAGTGTTTATGCAATATGTTTTTTTATTATTAAAAGTTACCTCAACTGCAGGTCATTGTAGCAAATTATTTTGGCAATTTTTTTTGCATGGGTAGAAACACTTTTTTATGGTTAGTATTATATCCTCAAGGTTTATTGAGGTGATGGTGCTTGAAGGGTGCTAGTCCAGAATTTACGCATATTTGGGGGGTAATTTGTATATGGATTGGTTCATGCCAATAAGTGTTAATGTTGGTTACAACTTGTAAGTTAATTGTTGTTTTTTGTTTATGCAAAAAGAGCAGGTAGTCTCCAAGTATAAATTATTACTGGTTTCTTATATGCAAATATTTTTACTTGACATAAAGAGACCAACTGCCCCCTAAAAATCACATGTTAAAAACATCAGAAAGTCATTATTTAAGGTGAAACAACTAAATCAGGTTTAGCATATATGAAAAAAAAAAGTGAGTATACTGTCCCATCTGGAATGAGGTCAAACTATAGATGGTACAACAATAAAGTTTATAAAATAAAATGCAAATAAGTTTGTTTAAAATAAATACAAAATGAAAAAGCAGACTAAATATGGAGACCCATAATTAATTTTAACTGTTTAGTCTCCTATTTTATATTTCAGGAGTCAACACAATACTATACTCTTAACCAATTAACATTCTGTGACAGGTCAAAAGAAGACACATTCTAGTTTAGTAATTCTCACATTGATACTACTAACACACAATTATAATACTTTAAATTGTGATTGTATTAGGCTATTATATTCTACTTAAAGAGGAGACTAAACAAAAAAAAAGGATAAAGCAAATTCTACAGATCAGATACAAAAAAAAAAAAACATCTAAAAGGAAATATATATATATATATATATATATATATACCAACCAAATGACTTAAACAACAACAAACATGAAGACAATAGTCTTAAAAATATGGTATAATGAAAATACTTCAGATCAGACCTTCAGAAAAATAAGGATAATCTACTTAAACCAGAAAAAAACCACCACTCCTGATTGTGATGTAATTATTAGCAAGCCTATTATGTAGATAACTGACTAGAGAGTTCAATTCCTACAAGCTTCCTTGGACCAAGACTAAGCTTATTAAGTAACTATTTCAGACTGAAAACATGGTCTTAATACATTAATATCTACTTTCCCCTTTTTATGGAACAGTAGGCATTAATGGGTTATAGATAGAAAGCTGTCATTAATACCAAATCTTTTTACGAACATAATTAATACTGGATTCTTCTTTCAATTTTAGAATAGAAGATTTTGTGTTGGTACTAATGGCTTAAAATCTATTCATAAATTTGGTATTATTGCATAATAGAACAAATTATCTTTACAGCAGTAAATGTTTTCTTAATCTCTGTAACTTTTGATCTACTTACAGGAAATGTAAATTTAATTTAGCAGAACATATAGAATGAAAAATAAGAATAATTAATTCATATTTCAAGTTCATTCAAAACAAAGAGAACCTTATTCTTTTTCTTATTACAATTTTACGTTTGAATAAAAAAGTTTTTACAGCTATATAAGTTTTCTTGTTTACAAATGATATTAAAAACATTACTCAAAATAGTAAGGTTAGTAGACGGATTAAAAATATTTTTTGTACATTCGTGGTATATCCTATTTTAATGAAATGAAATGATTTTTATAAATTAAAAAAAATTCAAGTTTTATTAAAATGATTTCACGCTTAAAAATATACCAAGAGATAAATTAATAAATGAACCACAGAATATAAATACAAAAATTAATTTTGAGTATACTTCAACACAAAAAAAAATTTTTGAGTGTAAATTTATAAACATAATGATGTCTTTGTGCTAATAGTAGCAGGTGCACTGAAAATTACCTGAAAAACAGGAGTTAACCAGTAGCTGAAAAAAATTGTGGTTTATTTAAATATTTTGTAAACAATTTTATTCTTAAAAAATTCTAATGCCAAAAAAAAAAAAAAAAAAAAAAAAAGGAAACTTAAGGATGAAATTTGTACGTTATACTACTATTAATATTAGGTACCTCCGCTAGGTCACGTAAAAAAGAAGCATAGCATGATGATAAAAGGCCCCAAACATCATTAAAATGTTTATGTTATTATTAAGAGGAAAGACCAAAGTATTTTTTATCATTTTTTAAAATTTTTTACTCCTTTCTAACATGTTCAAAATTTTAGTTAAAAAACTTGTTTTTTTACGACAGCAGCAAACTAGAGAAAAAAGGTTTGTCTTATTTTGCACTTTTCCCAAGGAAAACACACATTGATTTGGAAATTGTTGCAAAATTCAAATAATTGTCAGATTTTTTATTTAGAGATGATAACAGAAACCATGCATACGACACAAAAGAGACTCAGTTGGAAAGTGGAGAGTCAGGTAAAGAAACTCCAGATTAATCAAGAGTAAAATTTCTTTATCAGCAGAAGATGTTAACACCTAAAATTGAGTGAAGAGAGAAGGTATAGAAAACACTCTTATTTAACACACTATTACAGAGCCACCAGTTGTCACAAGAACCAAATTTATTAAAGGTTATATGGTCAACCAAACAATGACTTAGCCTCTTTGAGAACATATCTACTAATTTCTAAATGAGTAATTATATTTATTGTAAGCAGAAAAAATTATGCATACAAAGCTTGAAAAAAATTTCTTAAAAATAATCAGCACTGATTATTAATAAAATATATTAGTTTTAAGAGGATTTTGCAATGTATTTCCAGTTACAATGACTATACACAACATACATAAGTATTATCTTACCAGAGTTTCTCTCTAATAAAAAAATGTCTTAGGTAATAAACCATCAAGTACAGTTTAAAACAATTGATACTGCTGTAAGGTTTGTTCATTATGTTTTTAAAACCAAATTTATAATATCGAAAATATCTTCCTACAAATTTGAGGGGTGTGTGTGTGTGTGTGTGTATATATATATATATGTATATGCTCATTTCAAGTGACATAATAGATTAAAACTGGTCACTTTTTGTTAATATTTTTTTTTGTTTCCATTCAGTGTTCCCATAGATTTATTTGAATATTTTATAAAATATACTAAAGTATGCAATTTAAATACTGTAAGCACATTTAATATACTTTGAAAATTTTTTAAAAATTTGATTGATGAAAATTACAGGAATTTATTTTTGCTTTTAAATGGTTACTTACTAGTCCCCATTTGGTGTCCAGTCTGCTCGTACCAAGTATTCCATCCAAGGAAAGAATGTTTTCAGAGATGTTGGCAAATTTTTTATTTTAGCATCATCAGAAATCTTGCAAAAGAAAAAGAAATCTAGAAAAACTAGGCATTTCACTATTTTGCATTCAACTAAAGACAAATACAAAAATGTCAATTATTATTATTAATCAGTTGAGATCAGGCACTTGTGGCTGTTTTATTAACTTACCTGGCCTTCACTGTTTACTGCAAATTCTACTATTTTTAATGTACTCTCAGCATTATCAGTACCTGCAGTAAATATTAGAAGCCATTTACAGAAATAAAGAGTATCATAAAAATACAAGGGAAGAGAGAGTAATAGAATGTTTAAAATATAAAGAATGTTTAAAAATTTAAGCAATAATAAAATGATTTAACTTACCTTATCGATTTACATTTAATAGATATGATAAAACTTTAAATGTATTAATCTTTTAAAGTAAATTCATGTTTGAAAACAAATGCCACTAATTGTTGATCCCTGGTTAACTATATACATATTTCATACATATACTATTTAAAAAAAAAAAAAAAAAAAAAAGTTTTCCTCCCATCATGATGATTTGAGAACTTAAACTTCACTGCTACTTGTTTTCTGTCACAAGCCAGATGGCTTAATTTGTATTAATTTACATTTTGCGTAATGTTAACACTTCAAAAATTGCATGAAGATATAAAATTGAACCACTAAAACAAATTCAAATCAATCAATATATATATATATATATATATATATATATATACATATAAAGGCTTTCATAAGAGTAAATTTGAATTTCTTTAAATGCCATTTAGAAAAGAGAATATAGTCTTAAAGTAGCTAAGTCCATGTCCCTTAGCAAAAGATTCAGTTCCAAAACTACAAAAAGATGCATGCTTATGGAGATAAAAATGATATTTATCAAATAAAATCTGCAACAATCTAGTACATTCATTCTGTATTTTTGAATCATTTAATGAGATCTTGTATATTATTCTACACAAATTCCAAAAATAATTATTAAATTGAATTCATTGTGTTCTGTTAAAATAAAGATAAAATTATTCTACATTAATAAAAGTATTCTATAAAATATTGTTAAAAAACATCACCTACAATAATTCCTATTCTTCCCATTTAAACATGCTTGATTACATATTTTAAAATAATTGTAACATTTTACAAAAGAAAACCTGGAAAAATACTTCACCAAATATGTATTTTCATTTGTTTCTTTACATGTAATAGCTGGATTTGTAACTTACCTGCCCTGGGATAGCGATACATGTCCATTTGTTTACTATCTGTGGTTGGAGCAAATGTGTGTAAAATTTCCACACAACTTTCATCTACTTCTTCATATAAAATGCTGTAAGTTTTGTCACCAGCTGAAATATATAAATTTTATACTAAATGTAAAGACGTAATTGCAGAAAATAAGGTATATTCAGCCACTTCATGTATACTATCTATAGTAATTGATCCCCCCCCCAAGAATCACTGTCTCAACAATTCTTCTAAAATCCACTGCTTCCTCACGTTGCAATGACCAGGTTAAAAAGTGACCATTGATCATTCAAAGTAGCATCTACATATGCACTGCCATGGAAATCAAAAATGGTGGCCGTCACAAACGAAGCCAACATTGGGAACATTTAGTCCCATTTATTACACTCCTCCCTGATATCTAAATCACACATGTGGCAGAATTCAACAGGCCTCCTTATTCATTTATTTCTCTGAAGTTAGGGTGGTGCACTCCCTAATACCAAGTAAAAGGTCATATCCAAGCGGCCTTGCAGGCATGACTAACACAGATTTCAGGAGAATTACCATTCTCAATGCAAATGCCTCTTTCGCAACAGGTTCATAACTTGCCTCAGATTGTCTCCACATTGATACAAACTTTGGTCCACTTGCAACAGCATTTCATACCCACTATTATAAGTGTGTAACCTGAATCAACAAGGGCTGGATACCACTCTCCATCAACCTGAACATTAATCATGAACAGCACTATATTCACATTTGGGTGGGAAGCAAGGTTGGCACTTATTTCTACTCTTGAGCCGTTTCTCAAACAATTCCGCAATATATACCAAAGACCTCCAAACTCTTTGGTGTTCACTGCATTGGTTCAAGCAATCCTTGGCCAGGTGATTGGTACCTCCACAGTTGTGGAAAGTAGTCACGTTTTGCAGGTTAGGTGCAGGAGACACAATTGAATGCATCTTCAGATCTGCAGCTGCCACAACTTGTTCATTTATGGTCCCCTCATCTTTCATTATTGCCCTTGCTTGGGCCAGCTACTGTTCCAAAGATGATACATGCAAGAGATGTTTCACATGTTCAGGCTGGCCAGCAACAAAGGTATACAATAAATATCTGCCAGGTCCCCCCTTTGAAGAGAGTCTCCAATTTTCTCAGCTCAGCCAAATAGACTACCGTCTCATCAGGTTGTAACCTCCTTGACATGAACTGTTCATATGCAATGACGGTGTCTGTTGCAAAAGACACGTATAGGGCCTTCTTAAATTGCATGTTTTATCCTCCTGGATCAGTTGCAAATACACAGCAAAGGCTCCACAAGTAAGTTGAAGAGGGACATGACATTCAACTTGCTTCAATCCACACAAGTCGCAAACCATCTGAGCCTTTTCCATCCATTCTATGAAAGAGCCAGACCCATTAAGCTCAGGAATTAATTTTATAACAAAATGGTCAGCCATAAGTGCCAAAATAGCTGATCCTTTGGAGGAATCAGTTACTGTAGTAACTGATTCCTCCAAAGGATCACTTTCTCAACACTTCTAAAATCCACTGCTTCCTCAGGTTGCAATGACCAAGTAAAAAAGTGACTATTTATCATTCAAAGTAACATCTACATGTGCGCTGCTATCGAACTCTAAAATAGCAGCTGTCATAAACGAATCCAATATAGGGAATGCTTAGTCCCATTTATTACACTGTCATACAGTATACAAGAACAGTTTTAGATTTTAATATCAGTACAAAGATTTTAATGATATAAGAAAAAGCAAGAGTCATTTTCATAATCTCAGGAAATATATTAGGAAAACCCTGAACTATGCAAATTAGAGAAAAAAAATAATGTTCAATGCTTTTTGAATTTGAATCAAGTTTTTAAATATCGATTTAAAACACAACATTTTTTGTATAGGAATTAAAAAAATATTTATTCACTTCATATTCAAATGGAAATGGCAAAATATTAATTCATTGTACTTAACTGTTATAAAGCATATCTTCTATATCTAATAAAAAAAAAAAATAAAGTGTGTGTGTGTGTGTTATTTATGCACGCTTACATTTCTCGACTGATTTTGCTGAAATTGTATGCACATGTTGCAAATTTACAAATTTCAATCTCCAGGCCCCCTGGGTCAAAAAAAAAAAAAAAAAAAAAAAAACGATAAAACTGAACGTGGGTAAGACTTTTTGCAAAAACAAAGGCAAAGTTATACACAAACAAAATTTTTACTGGACAAGCTGATGTTCTTTGCACTTAATGCAAAAAAAACAGCTCATGTTACGGGATTTATGTAGCGTTCTTGATAGTTTTCCTGCAACACTGGCTTCACACAAAAAATTGCAAAAAACTGAAAAAAAAAAAAAATCAGGTTTTTAGTACTACTTTGTACTTTATAGTTTTAGTCCTGCTTGCTTCCCCAGGTATAACGAAAAACCAAAAAAAGACTGTTCAAAAAGCCCATTTTTTGGCCATAACTGCCTGGTTTTTCATCCAATGCTTTTCCAAATTTGCTACTTCAACAAACTGAGTCCAAAATCAGCTTTTGCCATTTAACCAATATTTTCTTCATATGATTCCATCCTAAATTGGCATTTGAACAACCTTTGATACAAAGATTGTTTGAGAAGGATTATTGAAGTGTTAAAAGGATTTGAGAAGGATTATTGAAGTGTTAAAAGGGGAAAATTCCCAAGGAATCTCTTATTAACCCCAGCTTTACAGTAAACATGTAAAGGAGGTGGGTGTTCATGCATCTGCACTTGCAGTTGAACCAAGCTCTGACACTTTATCTTTGTTTTGTTTGATTATTAGATTTGTGAACAATGCCATACTAATTGAAAGTTATTATGCACATAGGAAATTTACTGAATATCTAAAACATTGAAACAATTTAACCCTGAGCAACAACCACACACAGGTTTTATCAATGGAATTCCTTTATTAAGAACAATCAAACACTTGCAAAGGACATGCCATAAAAAAGATTGGTGGGGGGAGTAGCTTAGTATACCAATAGATGATGCATACAAGTGGGGACAAAGGCAGACATTTCTAGATAGGGTGCAGGTATTGGGGGGGGCAGTTATACAATTGCAGCCATGTACACCTGGACAATGCTGGGTACCTTGGCTAGTATTAAATAAAATTTTTTATGGTAATTTTCTAAAGTCAAACTTTCCTACATAATATAAGAAAACACCATTAGTAACTTTTAATTCTGTTTACACAAAAGAATCTAACAGAAATTGAACATTTCATATACTCATATGCAATCAAATTTAAATTATATTTCAAGTACTAGGCCCCATATTCATCAAAATAATTATGAAAAATAAATATAATAAAAAATAGATTGAATGCTCCAGAGAAATCAGCGTAAAATGATGATATTACTTACTAAGAGGGTTGGTTTCATGTCTGGGACACCACCAATAGCCAGTGAAACGATCAAATTCCTCTTGAATCACAAATGAAGGCTCTCCAGCACTAATGGGATCATCACTTAAATTACCTGTACCTGAGAGAAGAAAAATTCCACTGAACACTATAATTATCAGGCGTATTAATTTAATTTAGTAGTTATTGTTAAAAGTGTAAAGGGAATAATTTAAACTGTCTTTTGTATGACTCAGTCTGTTTAACATTCATGTGAAATAGTATAATGACAATATACAGAGACAACTAAATATGTGACGGGTGTTATAGAATGTAACTAATCAAGAATCAATAAAGAAGAGAGTATAATTCTGTATAATTGACACAGAGTTGTTGATGTTTTTAAATAGATCAATTTTAAAAAAATTTAATCATAAAAATTCATTAGTTGATAGCTTTATTTTTTTTTTCTTGAAAAGAATAAAAAAATTAGTTTTTCTTTCATGACAACAAAATTTACAAATTAACACTATTTAAAGCGATGAAAATTAAAACCTTCCATTTTCTCAAAAGAAAATTAGATTGCGCATTTAAGTATCAGAACAATCTTTTTCAAAGTAAACTTCACATTGTAATTTGCAAGATGAAATATCAGCCAGCTTTATAAACTTTAGGCAAAACTGTTCTCTCTGGCATAACATAAGCCTTTTAGGTTTTAAGTTACTTGCCATATTGTTTATTTGGTCATATTATTGATAGAAGAATAAAATATTACTAAAAAGAAGTACTGAATAATTCATAATTAAAAAAATAAAATAAAGTAACTTCTTTTTGGTCTTTAAATGATAAAACCAAGTGAGAAAATAACTTTAAATTAAAGCTCATGATAAAGTAGCTTTTAAGAATTGGAAGATTTAGCAATGCAATATCATCCATTTTATTTAGCTTTAAATAATTTAAAATCAAGATTTTGAAGACTAAATCTAAATTCATTAGTCACTAAAGTTGCCTCCACTCAACAGCTAAATTGAAAATGAATTATTGTAAACTAAAATTCCTAAATTAATAAAATTCAATTGTCTTAAATTGAAAAATCAGTTTTATTATTCATCTTTTTCAAAAATTGAAAGCTATCTCACAATTAAGAGCTATAAATATGAAATAATTACATTTCATAGCAAAACCAAACAACTAACCTTTATGAACATGAGTCAGTCTCCTTTGACAGCCATTCTTCAGATGGGTAACAGACAAGTCACTATCATGCACAAATGCCACTAGTTCAGAGTTGGTAGGACAGAATGTTGGATTAAGGCAGGTTTGGTAACAAGAAGTAGTACCACCAACTTCACGAAACAGGGCTTCATCACTCTGAAATTAGAAAATAAAACCAAAAATAAATAAATTAATGAATTTAAAATTAAGAACATTTAAAATCCCATACAAAAGCCAAAGACAAGTTCTAACAAAAGAGTTATCAAAATAAAGAAAGCCATTAACACCAGTTGATTAAACATTTTAAATATCATTAAATGAATGACAGGCTAACTCTAGGCTGAATATATTTTAATATTTCTTAAAAATAAAACATTTTGTATATAAATAACACTGAATTAAACCAACCCTTTGCACAAGTTTATATATAAATTGTAAAACCATCCCACTTACTCTAATACTATAAGCAAGTATTCCAACTGAATTTATGTTTGTGTTGCTTATTTAGTTCCTCTCAACATTTAAGCCAATTCATTCTACTATTCCCTTCAGGTGCTCTATCCATATGGAAAAGTGAGGAGGGATCTGGTAATGCAAATCTTTTTCTCATTTGGACTGCTGAGAGAAAAAAATAGAAACCCTCTCCTTCCATATGGAAAATACACTTGAAGAAGACTGTAGAAAAGCTCAGCCAAAATGTTCTGTGGGGCATAAACAACAAAGAAATGAGTTTAAAATGTCCAAATAACTTTTTGAATGTTAATGACTACTTAAAATTGATGAACTAGTTATTTTATCTAATGTAACTATTATGAAACTTTTTAAATTACCATTATTATTTTTTTTTTTTTTGGTGAGAACTCTTCAACATTTATATATTAGTCAGGCTGAGATGTAAGACTACAGATATCCACACTTGGATTGTGTGTGTCATATCATTTCAAGAATTTTTAAGTATATGATGAGATAATTTTCGTTTAACTTTATAGGTTTAGGTTTCAATGAAATCTAAAACTTCAGAAAATTGTTTAACAGTTGTATTTATTCATATATTCAAGCATTTACAAAAGACTATCATCACTTGAAGTCAATAATACATGGATCCTAATTAATCGCAAGAAATACTTTGATGAAATACTGTACCTCATTTGTGTTGAATAAGTTACCATTTGAGAATAATGAAAGTAAATTTGTTATATTTGGTTAGTGTTATAGAGTCCAGATAATGCATAAACAAACATAGTTCTGTTTCTGTGAAACAAAGTGATAATCAATGAAAGAATTTTCGGACTATGAATAATGACCTTTGGAAATATAAATACTAGAAATTGATAATCCCACTTCACCTCCATAGTATTCATGATTTTATTTGTGCAAATGAGGAATCTATACAAGGAAATTAAATGACATAAAAAAAGTTAAGATAATGTATATGTTGAAGGATTTTTATTCAGTTTTCTTTTCCAGTATGAATAAGGCATCAGAAAAATATAAACTGGTATTACTTTTTAAAACAATAATATAATTACAAGAAATACAGAGATGTCATAGGAAAAAAAGCAAATAAAGAAAAAGCAAGAAAGTGGAGGAGGAGGTTATCAATAGATAGGCCCTGACATCTAATCCTTCATGGTATATCAAAGAGTTAGTTGATACTAGCCATCTCCTGTCCAAGTACTATGCAACAGGTAGTACTAAGGTTTCATGGAATCAGAAACAGAAGAATCCCTCCTAGATCTGATAAAAAAAAAAAAAAAAAACTACTGAAATGTCAAATATGTGTCCTATGACATCATAACAGACATTTGCAAATTATCTAAAACTATCTGCAATAGAGCAGCACTCAATACATGAATAACTTTTTACAACAGAAAATCTAAGGTTATAGAATAGGAAAGAGTGACAGAATCATTAAAATGGTAATTTGAAGCATATCTGCTATCAGTAAATTTTCTAAACACTAGTAAATGGTTAATAAATACAACTTGCAATGCAGAAATCCATTTTTATACATATCAAGATATAAGATTTCAAACTTAAATTCATATTCATTAGAGTATATTTATAAATTCAAATTCATAGCCAGTACTTGCATGTTGTTCTAAAAACAAAGTTCAGTTCCTGATAATTCAGAATGAAATTTCATATTTCAAAACCAGAGAAGACAGTTTTGTTTTTTTTTTAGGAATACATCTGTCTGATAGACATGCAGCGTTAACAAGTTAATGAAGCATTCTAACACTTCAAAAAGTTAATCCTAACAATAACAGCTACAAAGTAGTAAAAATTACACATTAATACACTAAAAACAATAAACAGGATATTTAAAATTGAAATGATTTACTCATATTCCAATAAATTTAGCTAATATGTAGTGTGAGCAGCAGGGAAATTATCAACTTTGGTTAAATTATGAAATAATGTAACTAGGTCAAAACAACTATTGTTTTTACATTACAATCATTTCAATGAAAAAGTTGCTATAATATTAAATATAAGAAAAAGCAATATAACATTCCTTTAAACTCTTAAAAAAATGTATGGCTTATAGTGTGGTGCAGATAAATGTGGAAAAAAAAAATAATGGATAATAAAAACAGCATTTTTTTTATATAACAAATTAATATATTTCAATGAAACTTTATACATAGTGAGGCATATATATAAGGGTACAAAAATCACTTGATGTGGCCACCACTTTCTCTAAGTGGGGCTGGAACCTGGAACAGGCCTTGGCAACAACATCCTTGTCAATGTCAGTCATGGCATCCCTGATGTCTGTCTTGAGTCTCCTTGGTGTTGTAGAGACTGCTGTTCACCTCCCTCTCCAAGATGCCCACAAAAAATAGTCAGGAGGGTTGCAGTCTGATGATTGGAGCGGGGGCAGGGGTGCGTAAGTCAGGTGACCAGTGGTAAGGAATGTTGGTGAATAGTTAGGCTTGCTCCTGGCCTTGTGGGCAGGGACAAAGTCCTGTTGAAAGATCTAGGGCCTCCCATTAGCCACCCTGTCTATCCAGGGCTTGACATGCTCGTTCAGTAGCCTCATATAGTTGTTGGTACTATTTGCTGCTAACAACAAGTACCATGATGTGGACCGGATACTTTGACTGCATGATAATAGGTACAAAGCCACCTGTCATTCTGTCAATTCAGTTTCATGCCCTGGACGAAGTTCTTCATGTCGGAAAAGATCCTCAGCATCCCAGTGCTTGAAGTCATTGATCAGAGCTGATGCCTTCAGCTTCCTCCCATCCTTCTGCACTTTAGTGAGCAATGGCACCTTTGAACACATAAGATTTATAATTCAAGTCCTCCTTGACAATATACCTGATTGTTCATCTACTGGTGCCCATTTCCTTGGTGATTTTCCTCATGCTTTTGCTAGAGTTCTCCTTGGCAACAAACACAGCATCATCTTGACACCAGAACCCTTATGAGTCTTTTGTTCTGGTCTGAAACTGTCCTTGTCATCTGATGCCTCATATGCCTTTGCAAGGTTGTAGATCATCGTTTTAGGGTATTTAAACCATTCAATGATTTCCTTGGCTTTGTGGCCAGTACAAAGACTTTCAACAACAGCAGTTTGTTGAATTGTACTCTGTAGACAGGTTGATTACTAAGCACCTCATGCATCAATGGCCAGAGAAATACTGAGGTGTAGAACTTTCTAATGGCACTGTCCAAAACCTCACTATGCTGTGATGTCATGGTGCCATTGCCAGATAAAAATTTCAGATTTATCTGCATCATACAGTATAATTTTTAAAATGAATTAACTGGTTATTATCGGTTAACTTTATGGAGAATAATTCACAGATATGTACCATTTGATATACCACGATTCATTTTAACTTGAAATATACTATGATCCATCATACATTGTATTTTTTAAAAGAATATGAATTCTAGATAATATACAGATTTTCTTTGCACTTTGAAAATTGAATGCAAACTATATTATTTTGATTTCAGTTAACTAGCTGAAAGGCTTAAAAATATTTCTGTGTACCAATTTTCTACATATTAAAAGTACTTGAAAGATTAATTTTTTCATAACAGGCAACATAGCATAATTCTTTATTTCAATTCTTGTGGTCCATTTTGAAATGTGAGAAAATCTTTAGTTTGTGCTCATATGAAAAGTAACATTTCATATGTGATCATAAATTTCAGGAAAATCACAGATGTGAAAAAAATTTTAGAATATAAACTGTAAATCAGAATTTGAAATGATAAGATCTATTTCAGACATAACCAACTATCAATTAGTACTAATAGTTATGTGTAATACGGCTGTAATCCAATACAAGTTCATAACCACATAAAATAAGCTTATTTTCTTAAAAGAAGATGACTAATTGTGTATATCAAATCAATATTCAAATATATAAATATAGATAACTATGCTAGCCTACATACTTCAGGTTAAAATGATACATTTCATAAATAGTGAAACCAGAAATAAAGCGTACTTACTGTAACATTATCTGTACACACATACATACTATTGTGAGCTGGAAAAACAAATTTTCCTTCTTTCTCCACAAAGTCAAAATAGGTAATTCCAAATACTCCAAGTCGTTTGCGCTCTCGTAACAGTTGTTCTTGTTTGGACATGTGGCCAGATAAGGGCATCATTTGGAATGAATGCAGCAATTGCTTCCAAGTCAAATAAGGTGTTGAGTCTGTAAATTCATTAGGAACATCCACATATAGAAATGTGTTCTCCCGACTCTTAGCAGGAACACCAAGAAAATACAAACGAGTCAGGGGACCAGATTCTGTGTGGATTTTACGAAAGACAAATTGAGACGGGACACTGCTAGCAAGACTGGTGATGATTTTGCGAGTGTCTCTGACCGCCTTGCGCAGCTCAGACCATGATTTCTTTCCAGGTTTGGACAGTTCAGGAGCTGGTGAATTACACACCAACTGAAAAGGGTCTGGCAAAAGCTCAGAGGCCATGGTGTAGCCAATTCACTCAAGATATGACCACAGCCAACCAAGCCTAAAAAAAAAAAAGAGAACAAAAATTATGGTTTTATTATTCAAGAACATTAATAGAATACAATTAAAAAGAAACAAGAAAATATAGTTGTTATTCTTCAAAAGCATTTTATATAAAAAAAAAATAAATTATTAAATTATTAATTTATATAAAAAAAAATAAATTATTAATAAATTTGAATAGAAAATAATACTAATAATATTAAAACTAATCAAGCAAATAGAAGTATTTAAAGATCAATTTCTATAAACTTTAAAGTAATTACCAGCTTCTATGAAAGTGTTAATTTGCATAGGGAAGTTTTATTAAAAATTTCATGACTTTCATTCATTCTATTGGTTATTATATATATATATATATATATATATATATATATATATTACACACACAGTAACAAAGCAAATGTTAAAAACATTTTTAAAAAATAAACAGATTCCAAAATGTCCATTGAACATAGTATGTGGACAAGTAAATATGAATTTAAACCCCTGCTCATTCAATACTTATGTATGTTTAGCTAGAAAACTTATGTAAAAGTTCACGGGCTTACTAAGAGGATAGAAAGGATGAATTCCTTATACCAAAATTCATCATTTGGCAAAAATATGCATAAATATCAATTTATATTTGCACAAAGTACATTCAGCATACATTTATTTTTTCTAAATGTCAAAGCTCTTCAGGACATGGTTCTCCACAGATTCCTTTTCTTTATTATCTGTGAATCACCATGAATTCTTGAGAAAGATAATGAAATGGTTTCCAGTTGCCTTCTCTGTGGTTTGAATTCAAAACTTCCCTTCTCTTAAGCTGATTACTACCAAAGTTTAGAGAGTCCTGCTATTTAAGAAATAGCTGAAGAGAGAAGAGATGGATTCATGCCTTTTACAAGAATATCAATGTGAAAATGAATGGAACAGACTAGCCCAGAATTTGAACTATTCACTAATACCACTTTCCATGATGATATACATTACACTAACTGCACATCCACATACATTAAGTTGTTAGTTTTATTTTAACCAACAAAATAGATAAAAATCATTCAAACCATTTTGAGACTAAGTGATGTCAGTTTAAACAAAGTTTTAGTCACAGTAAGTATTTATAGCAGTATATAGTACATATTTTACAAGTATTTTGTATCATATTAAAGCTCTAGATGGTGGTATTTCTCTAGGAAATAACAGATATTAATTATCACAAAAGAATCCTCATTTTTACTGTTGAAATGGCTAGATGTAACAATAAGTTCTATGCTAATAGCTTCTTCTCTTTTACTGATTGCTTGTGGAACTCTCTTCAAACTTCTTACTTTCCAGGCAACTACAAACTTCAAAAATTTAAATGCAACATCAATTGTCATCTCTTGTCTTTTTGAATCCTGTTCTTTTTTTTTTTGTCCTCTCTCCTCAACATTTTCTCAGTTTCCTTCACTCTTGGTAACACATCGTGTTAAAAAAAAAAAAAAAAAAAAAATCAACAATTATACTCTATCCTATTCTATCTTCAATAGTTATAAAGATTATATACACTAACAAAAATTCTATTTGTCCTAATGTTTGGAAGATTAAAATATTGAACTAGAAGACAGATATAGCACTGTCAAGATCGCAACAGATAAATTTTACTAGAATAAATAGCTTTACTTAAAAATAAATGTGTATAAAGTTTTATTGGAACAGAATGCAAAGTTTTATTGTAAAATTTACCATATCTGAAAATATTACTTTTATCATGAGTTATTAAGATGATGAACTGAAGGCTATAAGGCTTACATATAAAAAACCATAATAAAAAACAAACACACTACTCCTTATGATTAAATCTGCAGTACCCAATTTTGTAACTGAATTGACTTCAGTAATAACATCTATAATTTTCACAACTCTATTCCTAATTTTGTCAACAGAACCTTTATAACAGCTCAAATAACCATTATAGTCAGTTTGAAATCTCAGAATATGTATTTTAATTTTTAGTAGTTTTCATTTTGAGAACTAAAATTAAGTATTTTTCATTAAATATTTTATTTAAAAAGAAATATAAATATATCAAAGCATTTAGAAACAAAATAATTTTATTCTTTTCATTCTTTTTGATTTGTATTTTTAGCTATGAAGATTTATTGTAATGACTTAAAATGAGTGAACAGGAAGGTAATATACAATGTGACATGAGTTCACAAAACAATAAAAAATAAATTTATAGGTTGGACAAAACAGCTGTTTTGTACAGCATTATACTGTGATTATTTTTCATCCCATTCCTTTTTAATTTATGCATAAATCCACATATTTTAAAACATTACATTTCTTTCAGGAATTATGTGGATTTTTAAAGGGTATTAAAACAAATATGAATAAATACAATTTTCTTATTATACAGCATGAGTTCAAACTCATCCATTGCACTATCAAAACCACTCCCAACAGCAATGTTTGGAGGCCAGAATCAGGTACAAAATGAATCCAGTAACATTGTTCCTAAAGATTCACTTATGCTGATATGGATCTCCAAGATAAGCAAGGTCATATTATTACCATTGCCAAAGTCACTTGTAGCATCAACAGGGATTTAGGGGGCTGAAGTTACTTTCAGAACAGATCTTGTGTTAATTGCAAAAATGTTTCTGTTGATCTGGATTTCAAAGATAAGTCACAGGTCATCATTCAAGAATCAAGAATTAAGGTAGCCATGGAGATTCAACTAGAAACAAACAAGTATAGAGAGCAAAGCTAAGAGCAGCTCATACAAGTCATAAATCATCTAACACAAATCAACAAAGTGAATAAAATGCAAAAATCAGTACTCAATGATTTGAGTGATAATCAGCAGCTTGCAAAATTGGACACTTATTTATTCAGTTCAAAAATAATTATTTTCTTTATCAAATGCTTATTATTTATGAAAAGTGGTTTCTGTTTAATAATCAGAAATGTGGCTTTAATACACTCAACCTTCCCAAAACAATATCCTTGATTGTTTAATGGTACTGTAATGAAGTAATTTATTACAGCTTTTTGTAACCTGATCAGAACATCAGAGCTGAATCCCGGTGATTTAGTTGCAAACATTTTGGGCATCAGTGACAAGTAAAGCAAGTCTACTGCAGCATAACTTAAGGACTCATTTATGAATTCATGTAAGGATAAATTTTATCTATGTCCTGACCTTACAACAATAGAATAAAAAAGCATTACATAATATCAGCCTTTATATAACAAACAAATTGTATTTACATTTAATTTGCCTAACAATATTTAAAAGCAGATTTTAATAAATATTTCAGCTGTTTATTTTTAATTCAATTTTTTTTTTAAATTGCTGTGTAAGTAATGTTTATGTTGGTAGAGTTTTTTTTCATTTTTGTGATGGCATAGAAAGAATTTATATCTTGTTAAAATTCAGCTGTAAGTTATCAGAAAAAAATATTAGTGTTCACATTTAAAGAAAATGTAAAATAAATGTAATCTATGCTTCTAAAATAACTTTTTTTCTTCAGAAGCAAAGTAAATAATTTTAAAAATTGAATTTATAAATTTCCTGCAGTATTCACAGTAACCATTGTGGTCTAACATTAGACATTAATACAAATTAGTCAATTAGAGCCAGAAACATTTGAATAATTCTGTAATGGTTTTATTAAAACATTACAGAATTATTTAAATAAGTGAAAATAAGTGTTGAATTAATCCTCATCACTAATAAAACATTAAAAAATTATTTAAATATACCAAATTTTAACTTCATTTTAAAAGATGCAAATAAAGTAAATAACTTTTTTTGCATTTAATTGAAGAAAATTTTTAATTGGGAAAAAAAAAAAAAACAAACTTTCATACTTAATTGAGAAAACTTTTTAAAATAATATTAACAAGTTTGCTAAATTCTTGCAATTTTCTATGCAGCTAATGACCATTGCAATATAATATATATATATATATATTGTTTCATACATATTACGAAATATCTCAACAGTACAGTTATTTTTATACTGTTGTTGCTTCATAAAAGGGAAAATTTTTATTATTTATCCCAAAAATAAACATGTCACAAGCAATCATTTACTGCCATTCCAAATACAAAGCCATTAATTTCCTGTCAAACTATCCTTTGGTCTTAAAATTCACAAAGCTCAAGACCAAACCCTTTCAAAGGTTTCTCACATGGCCAGAATAGGAAATTCAAGTGGACTTAGCATAATGGCAAAAGGAATTTTAAAAAGTAAATGTCTTCTTGAAAATGTTTATATGATGAATATGGAGATGGGGTAGAATTTTAGTGTCTAACTACATTAGATTTTCAGTTGAAATAGAAGTTCTGTTACCTTTTATAAAAGGTATGTATTTTTATTTTTTTATTTTTTTTTTACTAACCAGAAACCAAATTTGAGATGCTAACAAATTTTCATTTTAAATATTTTGCTTCACTTTCTCCCAAATTTCTTGTAAATATATATATATATATATATATATATATATATATATATATATATATATATATATATATATCTTTTAGATCAGTCAGGTTTTAAGATTGTTGTAATTCTGTCTAGTTCAAAAAAATAAAAATATCTTTGCATAGCATTCTGGGGGTGTATTTTTTATCAATCTTATTAGGTCAAAGGTCAGCAGAATGATTGCCAACATTTCTAGTAATATTTATACAGATGCTAAAAATATCTTACAATAAATTTCAATATTAAAAGTGAATGCAATTTTAAAATTATATAAAACTAATAAAAGTAACATCAAACCTCCAAGTTGGCACCTTCTTTAAAGAGCTAAAGTTTAAAGTTAATAATGTTCCATTAGACAGCAATTCATTATTGAATGGTTTTAATTTGCATGTTATCAATTATGTTTCTGTATTGTACTGTAAAATTGCTAAGTATTTTTAAACCATAAATGAAGTTAATTAAAATGTATCCAGATATATACACATCATAAGTAAATTTTTTATAAAAAGTCTGCTAAAAATGTAAGAAATAATGGTAA